AGCGAAAACCTGCGATATATTTTAACCAGTTTATAACTGTGACAACACTACATTCAGTGCTACATTACACAGTACTTAAATAGGTTGTATGCTTGACGACGAATGCAATATAGCATCTTTAAAACGCACCTTAAAACGGTTTCATAGAACACCGACGGAAGACTTCACAGGTGAAGATAGTTTTGCTTTGAAGATAATGTAGTTAAAATGCTTTATTTTAAAGGGAAAATCAAAATGTTTTCTTCGGTTTCTTGGCATAATCACAAATTGGTGACATCAGCCTGCTTGTTAGAATTATGAAAGGCTTTTTTTTTCGCTTTTTTCCCAAAAAGGTTGGTTACGTATATCACATACTGAGCATGATTGTTCAACCTATAGGGGACGTAAAGGGAATATGATAGCGACATTGGTGATTACAATAGTTTTGATCACTTTTTTTAAGGGTTAAAAAATCTTTTTTTTTTTACAGTTTACATTTACCTATTATCATATGGATATTTCTGCGTTCTTTAGTTCATTCAACCACAATTACATTTGCCCACTCCCACGTCTTTTCTTTCTTTTTGCCCATCATTTTCTGAAGACGCCCCCTCCCACCACTACAACTCACCACTCCCTCCGTCTCTTATTCTAGTTGCTACGCCCAAACAAAAGGAAAGCAGAAAGAGCAGTTTTAGAGCAGTTGTCATAGCTGTCATTTTGACGCTATTACTCTTTCAATCGTGACTCGCCAAATTAACATTGTACCTGTTTCAACCTGTCACAAATCAGCCTCAACAGTATGCCTTGGTCAGTCACACAGCAGAAAAGGCTCGGGTTTGAGAAAGGACTCCTGGAAGGATACTTCGGTAACAGAATTACATGGATTGATCCCGGAGACCAAACGAAAGTCGAAGTTCAAGTAACAAGCTCCAGTGACAAGCCATACACTCTAAGGGTGTACCTTCCTGCCGACTTTCCCAATTCTTGTCCTGACATGGTCGTGAAGACATCATCAAGGTTGAGGGCACATAATGGATGGTATCTAGAGAATTATCCAGGCGACAACCATACAGGCAGGACTAGGGACGGCTACACGGGTATCTGCCACTTCAGGCCAAACTTGTGGCGTGA